TGTAATCACCCTGCAGTTCTCGCTGTTGCTAGCCAGAGAAGATTACAATAATTCCACAGTCAAGATTTTCCCCCCCCCCCCCCCCTTCTGCACATCAGTAACAAGTTATTTTATTAAAAAAACCTGGACAATAAGCATTTCATCTGGAATAAATGAGGTTTTTAAAATCCCATTTGTCTTCCCTCTTCACGCAAATCTGTGTTGATCTGATGACGCTCCTATTTCCTGGATTACATCCGTCAAGCTTTGCAAAAATAAGCATACCCTGGTGGTTTAGTGCCACATTTCACAGCCCTCTCTTGCCCGTGCTGACATAAATATTTCAGAGACCTGCACACAACTGTTTGAGTTAGGTCTAGGTCACCCAGAAGGCAACGGTTCGGACAGATTCATTAATTCAGCAAAGCAATTAGCAGGAGCCGGTGCAGCTCAAGACATCCTGGTGAACGGCAGGAGGAAGATACCCACTGAAAAGGTTTAAGGAAATCCTCGCCGGCCACCACATCACCCACATGGGCTGGGGGCAGGCCCTGGCACAGGACTCCTGAGCCAAAGGGATCCCTCCTGCCATTACCTTCTCCTCCCAGCTTTAAAAAACTTCTTTTTGGCTTATAGCAGTGCTGGCCCATTCGGCCACTGAAATCTCTTGAAAGACAAAGATTGGCAATGAAACTGGACTGAGTTATTCCCCATCCAGAGTCCTGCTCCTTCTAGCAACACCACAGCAAGTCCTTCAAAGCAGCTTCTGAAATTATCTCCCCAACACGAACGTTTTCTTCGAGAACTGTGTTCCCATATGCGCAAAACCTTGTTTGTGCACCAAATGAGACAGGGGAAGACCTGAGACGAGTACGAACAGCAAAGATAGCTACTGACAGAGAAAGCAGCCCGAGGACCCTTGGAAGCTTCACCCACAAGACATTTAAATGCTAAGCAATGTATCATCAGCTCCCCGCTGAACGTAAGATGGTTTCATCTTTGCAGAAGCAGCAACAACAGCGTGCTCACATCAACTTCGCTCTGGCAGTTTGATCAACAGCGGCAGTCATGGCTTCTTATTTTTTAACTGCAATATAATTAGGCACTTAGGAAAATGACTCTGGACAGTAGAAACGCTACAGAGTAACTGCAGGTATCAGCACAGAGCTCTGCAAGCCAGAAGTTTAACCACAACTAAAGGTACAGGCCAGCTGAGCCCTTGTCTCGCATGCTCTGCCCGGCTAGATACTGAGAGAGAGCCAATGCTGCAACATTTCAGTCACCAGTGCAAGAGTTTGCGCCATTTCTCCGGCCTGCAGGGAGCTGCTCTGGACCAAGGAAGTTTTTCTGTGCCCCACTGCTGGCTCCTCTCAAACGGAAAGCATTCAGAGTAGATTGCACATATTTTGATATTTCGGGAAGATGAGGCTCTAGCTTGGCCCACCTGGATTTGGAAACTGGGCACGTTAATTCCCAACTTCAAACTGTCAGCTGAGAAACTTGCCAGCATCAGGGAGCAGGAAAGTGCTGCTGCCACAGAGGTGGGCAGAGCCTGTCTGCAGCCCGGGCTCCCACAGCACTGGTCACTGCTAAGGAGATGACGAGTAAACCCCTTTTTCCTTCCCTGTTAAACTGCTGCCTCTTACATTCCTTTTCTTAATCTTCACAGCAATGTCTTCTCAGAGGAGCCACTTCTGACCCTAACGTTGGGTGGAAAATCTGCTGCTCGGTGATGTGATTAAATGGTCAGAGCAACCTGACTTTCAGCATTCCTGGTGATGATTGACAGAGGGAAACAAAGTGCCCAAATAACAAAAGTAGGTAATTCCCAGGAAATGAAGCATTCATGTGCTCTAGGATGTTGCGTGGCAGATTTGAGGTCACCTGGAAACGTGGAAGAAATGCTTTTATATACAGAATCCCCAAGAAAACTGTCAAATTGACGAAGAACACCATCAACACCATCCAATCCTTCCATTCATCTCTGCCATCCCAAAGACTAAGGATCAGCCTTTGGTTGCCATAACCATCAGGCAAGATCACCTTGAAAAGCGGTAGGGTGTTGGTGTGTGCTGACAGAGTCACCTCCATGTAGAGCGGCAACAAAAGCAGGTCACCTCTACTATGTTTCTCCAGAGAGCTTCCAACTCACAAGGGTACCTGGTAAAAACGCAGTCAGAAAGGAAAAAAGACATCAGAGGAAGCACAACTTCAAAAAAATTCTGCGCTTGTGGAGGAACAGATGTGTGACCATGAGAAATGATCTGACCACGGGCGTGAACATCCAGAGGACATTGCAATCCCCCTCGTTTAAACCCAAATAGCCTGCAAGTTCCTATGGATGCCAACCAAGAACAGAGCGAAAAGCCCTGCAGATGTCTTCATCGTTTCCTCAGATGATACCAAAAAAAGTAAAATAATGGAGGCACTGGGAGACTTTCCAAGGCGCACACATCCTTTCTGTCTAACCCAGCCACGCTTGGTGCACTATTTAGTGCCAAGTGAGAAAGAAGCGATGCCTAACAAAGTGTTAAAGGACTTTGTGAAGTCTCATCAACCTTCCCACAGCCTGTCACCTTCCCAGCTGGTTGGCAGAAGAGACAACTGATCTCCTTGCTCCCAGATCACAGGCGGCAGAGCTCTTAGGGTAACTGTCTCTCTGTGTTTGCATCCAGCTATCTCCAGCAGCTTGAAGCGTGCTCAACGTGCAAGAAAGCATTTGATCAAAATCCGGCTCACACGGTAGGCAGCGAAGGAACAACCGCACAAAGCAGCGTCACATATACAGTAACAATTGAATCTGGTGGAGGGATTTGACAGGTTACAGGTTGATGACACTGCTGCAGTCTCGGTGGAAATGTGGTTTGATGCAATTAGCAACAGGGAACTAGAAAAACAGCAGAGTAAAACTGGAAATACATGTATAAAAGATGAGCAGCTGTAGGACTGGACAGAAGTGTCAAAATCCTCTGTTGAGCTCAGAACAGGAACGAGATGAAACAAGAGTGCAGTTGGGAGAAATGCAACTCTGAGCTCCCCTCCACTATGCAAAATTAAAGATCCAAATTTCAAATCAAAACATTTGCTTCCCCAGGAGCGACTGGCCCCATTTGCTGCAGGGATACAACAGAAGATGGTGTGGGGGCATCCCGGAGAGACGGGCAGCAGAAAGCAAACTGCTGAGCACGGTGCTGCAGTTCACTTTGGTCCGTGCTGGGCTAACGCCAGCCAGCTAGGACTCCGCTTGGCTACGCGCAAGTGAAATCACATCGGAAAACGTGGGAAGATGCAGAACCACCGGATTAGACATGCTGCCAACACGTGCACCTCTGCTAAAGGACTGAAGGGCACATCCCTCGCACATCCACGCTGGCTGCTTCCCTCGTCCTGGGGGTGAACACTCTCCCCAGCACAGACCAGGGCTAGCAAGGGGGAAACCCTCAAGGTCAGAGGCCACAAGGATGGGCTTGTGGAGGCAGCAGGTTCCCTTGTTTTGGTAATACATGTACTTCGGGTAATACCTGTGCTAAAAGTGCAAGTCACAGTCCATGCACAGGATTTCACTTCAAAGAAACCCACAGGAGACAAAAACCCAGGCTGGCACCGGGAAACCAAGGAAGACTCCTCTTTCTGACATGTTTCTATCCAAATCTGCATGCACACCTGGAATGAGGATCCGTAGCCACCAGACAATGAAACAGGACACCATTTAAGCCTTTCACAAAAGTAACTAAAATTTTTCTCCTCTGTGAATGCTGACAAGCTCCCCACTTCCACAAGCCCTTCACTGCACATGCCTAACATGGAATTGCTATAAAAAAAACGTGCAGCAAGACACCCGAGCAATGGAGAAGGTGCTTCTGAACAAAACCAGCAACGATGTTTATAATGACTGCAAGTATATACATATTCTGCTTCAACAAGGGTAGTGGGGATCCGCCAGTCTGAATACTAAGCAGGGACACCACACACCTTCCATACATAATAGTACAAAAATGGAATATAAGTATATATTGCAGCTCTGTGAAATCTAGGGGCTTTTGCTAGACGTTTATGTTATACAAAGATTTACATTTGGGAAAGTCATTCTGCTATATCTGGCAGAAATTTCAAGACAAATGGATCCCATGTTTATTCATTCAATAATAATACTGAGCACAGGATAAAGCTCTTTTAAATTCAGAGCACTTTATAAAAATTAATTACTACTTAGTTCACCCTTCTGAGGTGGGAAGGTATTACACCTGCATATACATGAGGACACCAAAGCACAAGTGGATTAAATACCTTGTCCAAGACCCCAGAGGCAGGCTTACTGATCATCCTAATCGCTGAAAAATGTGTGCACACATGCATCTGTGTGTGTGTTTAAATGGGCTTATCCTCTCCAGAGCCTTTCCCAGCACACAGGTTTTTGCAGCGAAGCCAGCCTGCTCAGTTGGTGTTTTCTCACCATACGTGTCCCACACACATCTAATAAAAGATACCAAGCCAAAAAAAGGGGAAGAGATTTTTTTTGTGGGATGTACGAATAGGGATAAAAGCTGGATTTCAAACAGCCAAGAACAGAAAAACCCATTGTTAAAAAGCTGTGTAGTGTTACATTGACGATCCTTAATCAGATTGCCACTGAGCAGCATTTCACCAGCCCACACCGGCGCACAGCAGACCTGGGATACCGCATGGCAGCAAATGTTATAAAATCTGTCCCTTGACAAGTGTACAAAGAGAGAAAGGGCTTTTGAGCTAGTGACAGAGACACATCAGCACCTGCAATGTGACTGGCAGCCCACTCGACCTGCTCCAGAACTGAAAGCACTTCAGCAACCGCTCCCATTGCCAGCCAGTTCGGTGATGGTGGGCTGTGCTGGGCCACTGGGCCCGTACCTCTTTGTCTGAACACCGGCGAAGGAATATATTGTCATGGGAACAAACAAGTATTTTGAGTTTCTGCAAGGCGTCTGTCAGTGCTGTCAGGTGGGGTTTCAGAGGGACGCTATAATTAGTCATCGGCGTGTTACCTGGACGGATGGTTTGCCACTGATGTGTGGGGTAAAACACTTCCAGGTCTTCAGGATCAGCATCATCTTCTGTCATCAGCTCTTTCCCGCTGTCATCTTTTATGTCGCTCTCTTCTATTTTTGTAAGGGCAAACTCCTTTTGGATAGAAGAGATTCAGCTCATTAGCAATTGCATCTGGGTAATTTAGTGCCGGCTGAGAATACAAAATTTTTTCCCTCGCCAGCAGATTTTTTTTTTTTTTGACATCCGAGATTCTTTCCACATGGTTAAATTTAGATTTAAAGTATATTAAAGGTTAAACATGCATAACTAGCATGACATTTGTGCTGAACAAAGCAACGCAGTTTATTTCCTATTCCAGTGCAGGCTGCAGGTTTAAAACAAGCTTTTGCAGAGCCTCACCTGTATTACAGTCAGAGCCAGAAGCCCTGACTATTATTAGGGTTGTGTAACGTCGTAAGACCCTGTTTTCCCTTGCCTAAAAATATGTCAAACTTAACTTTTTCAGCTGAAATTTTCCACGCGAGTGGAACGCCTCAAGCATTGGTTTTTGGTGGTTTTTTTCTTAAATGCACTTATTTCAGGCGTGGAGAAGATTTCAGCTAAAATAGTTCAGCTATTTCCAAAATAGGACACAGGGAAAACACATCGAATTGCCCACACGATAAAACCACGAGCATCCTTTTCTCCACCCATTCCCAGTGTCCTCCAAGTCTTTTAAAACAATGAGGCAGCAATTTAATCACCACCTACACTGCAAGAGCAGCACGCGAATGGCAGAGGTGTGGTAGATCATTTAGCACGAGCCATATGACATTACGCAAAGGAAAAAATGAGGAGGAAAAGCAGGAAAAAAAAATCCTTGCAGCGAGGGAAACCTCGCTGTTCACTGGCAAGTCTCCCTAGAGAGCTGGTGGGAGTCATGTAAAACTGCAATGGATAAAATCGCTGCGAGTGTGTAGTCAGTAACAACCTCGTACTATCTCACACCAGGCTATTAGCTGCTCAGGAAGCAGGTCTGTGCTATTCTGGTTTTCACAGGAACAGATAAGCTGGTCCAAACTAATCGTTCAGACAGCTTACTTTCTGCTGCAAAGAGTATTATCAGGTTCTGATATCGCCAAGAACACCACCACTGAAT